AGAATAAAACCAGCTCAAACAGTTTAATTTTATAAAACCTGGAGTAGTTAAAAAAATTATTGCGTTCTTCCTAAGAATCCAACCAAAAAAGCATATTAAAATAAAAGAACTCTGGACGTGAAACCTTTAATGCTACCCAGCAAAAAAACAAATTATATAAACAGCAGAACAGGAAGAATTGTTGTTGCCTAGCAAAAAGGGCCAACAAACTTGAGTTGCAGGATTCACATTCCGTTTAAGATTTTTGATTCATTGAACAGAAAGATGTCAGGACATAAAAAAGGTAGACACAATCGCTGGAGAAAGAACTTTATTCGTCTGACGTTTCGGACTCCTGCTCGAACCCATCATCAGTGACAATAGCAGATACGGGTCTTCGATGATGGGTCCGAGCAGAATTCCGTAACGTAAGGCGAACAGAGCTCTTGTTACAGCGATCGTGTCTACTTCTTCATGACATCTTCCTAGGACTCGTCTCTTTGCTTCTATTGGCGATGTCGGGGCAGTTTGCACAGTAAGGTACGGATAGTTCTAGAGTCCCACTCTGGCCAATTCCAGGCATAAAAAATTAACCACATTACAGAGATCTCAAATTATACCCAAGGCTTCTAGTGCAAGCAGAATAAAGTCAAAGTACTTACTACTTGAGAATAATTACAACATGTTACGAACTGTTCGGGATGCGTTTCTGACAAGCAGAGTAAACAGTTAGATGTCCATTAAAAAAATTAAATATTACACTACCTTCTTGAACCTTAAACAAAATTCGACACTTTGTTGGCTGTTATAACATCACATGGACAGGTTGGGCGCTTTCCTGGTAGATTAGACAAGAACATGTGACTAGGAGGCAAGTGGTTATTAAAGGATTGAGCATTAACGGGCAGTTGGTATTTCAGATTGATAACTCGCGCTTAATTTGACTATTCTTCGACATCTCAACGTGTTTTTTCATAAATTGATACATTTCGTAACTTAAGAGGTTGGGCAAATGACTGTCCTACACAACTTTGCAAGGAGGGTGGAAGTCTGCCTTTGAAATTGGAAAATAGACGTGACCCACCGGGTTATCTGACCAACGTTACTCGCTATTTGCTATCTCATGGGCGCTGATCAAGTCACTTAAGTGGCTACTCGTGTGCAACGTTGACATACAAATTCGCTGGAAAAGTGCATCGGATGTTGACCATGACGACAAAAGTAACAAAAATCGGGGTGTGGATTTCAGGCGCCTGCGCTCAGACAACGGGGATCAATAAGCCCAGTATAAGGTCGACCGTCAACGTCCTAAGGAGGACATGGATTATGCGTCAACAGTCATATAACACCGGCTCTCCCTGAGCCCCTAATATGACGGCTATCATCGTCCAGTATTGGTTTTCGGTGTCAGTCAACAAGCGCAATGGCCTCCCATCCTCATATTCTGTGACAAGACTTTGCATTGGCAAAGGAGTTAACAACACGGGCTGCCAACGGCTCTACTAACGACAGGCTATACTGACGAGCAATCGTCACTTTAAGAATTAACAACGATTGTAAAACTATGGCGAAAAGCAAATCGGGTTAGACTAACAAGCATTCCTCAAATTATGGGCGAACCTCATCGATGGATATGGGAGCGGCTAATTAAAGTAGGCATGTGGTTGCGTGACAACAGCGTCTCGTAAACTATTAGTTCCTGATGCCTTTATTACTATTCTATGCGACTGTCACTGATGATGGGTTCTAGTGAGAATCCGGGATGTCTGACCAATAAACGTCTGGTCCTAGCAATCGCAGCTTCTTCTAAACTGCTTCCTGGAACTTGCTTCTTCGCTTTTATTGACTAAATACGCACTTGTCTTCTGATCAGCCGAAAGAATAGTCACGCCGTTCCCTCTGTCCAATCGATTTGTATCGCATGTCACTAAACCACTTGCTCAGGAATAGCTTTCCCTGAAAATCTCACACATCTCAAAACGAATTTGCTGTAAACCCCAAACACCATCATTTCCTCCGCGCTACATACCAATTTCCGCTAGTTCTCAATAGTTCTGTGAGTCATTTATGGGGTGATGGCAAACACTGGCGTCCACAAACACTTCCTTGGACTCAATTCCTCCTGGTTTTGATAACCAGAAATAGAGAGGTATTCGGATAAAATGTAAAAAAGTCGCGTGACAATTTACTTGTAAGAGTATAAGGACATTGATGTCGTATGTAATGATTTTAGGGCAATTAGTTAGTCGACAAGTAGTCCAGAGGAAACGAAATTGCTCCTGTCCATCTGTGTACAGTATACCTAATTTGTTGCCATTCGTGTAAGCCGATACTGGGTGCCCAAAAATGTCCACTAGCGGCCTGCTAGGCTACCATGTGGGTACAGCTGTGGGGCGTCCATGTCCGCCTCCGGTGGCCTTGACATTGTATTGCCGCTGAATCAAGCTGGGTGAGCAAAGGGGGGGCGCGATAGATGCTCTGAAAGTCTCCCACACCATAAACTAATTAACGCGCAAATCACCGGTGTTAATCTGTCCACTTGGCACACACACACACACACACACACACACACACACACACACACACACACACACAGTGGAAAGCGTCATATGCCACAATGGGACTGTAATTGTAGAGCCATCTGTCATATATAACTTCATAAATAGTTATCGTAGGCTCTACGCTTTTAACAGAAATGAACTTAATCGATGCCAGTCTGTGCTATTTAAGTTCAGTTTCTGCATAAATTATAAACAATAATATATCCAATGCTGTCGTACGTCGAGGTTTTTATTACAAACTCTTTCCGCACGCGCACATTAAACTGAACACCGAAGTTTCTCCGGCAGAATCATAGAAAATCGCAAGAAAAACTAGAAAAAAACTGCAAGTGAGGGATAGCGGGAAAATGCAGTGTTTTTCATGTGCAATTTGCAGAAGCAATTTGCGCACTCTTCCATTTGCGGCTGTGCTTCAATTAATTTTTAATTCTTTTCGATTGACTAAAATCAGATTTAGCCTCCGTTAGGAGCGTTTTTACCAATGTTGTTAGCAAATAAAGTTGGTCAGAATTTTTTTAAAATGATCAAGAACTAAGGTTACGGCACTAGATTATGTCTAAAAGAATGGCTCGTACCGTACATTACCTAACCTAGAGTTGCATTGACTCGGGTATGGGAAGCGATTCCAAGAGATCCACCCCAAATGAGCCAGTTTTTTTCAGGATAGACTAGATAGGGCATCTCAGCTTCTATAATTACAATCCACGGAAGTGCTCAAGAGAGCATCCCGGCTCGACTGGCCAGGTGTTGAAGTATGCAGCTGGCATGCAGTTGCTATGCGCTTGTGTGCAGGTCAATATTATCGGCCCCCACGCTCATCGTACGCAGTCGAGTTGCTGACGGCCGGATTTCTTTATCCGTGTGGCCTTTTGGTCAATTTAGCTCGCCGATACTGAGACCAGGAACAGTGGTCATCCGCACGCTGTCCTCGCGGCTAGCTACTTTGCCTAGGCAAAGTCTCAGTGCCGAATATGGAGAGGGGAAGTCGTTGCGCTTGATAATTAATTGAGGACCGGAAAACCATGACCCGAGCTCTTTGCGGCTCACACGGCCGTCACCTCGAGCAAGAATTTATGCTTCGCTAAACTTGAATGTGCGGTCGGGTCCCGTAGAATGAGCCGCGACTTGGGAGCTGGCATCGTTCCTCCCTACTGCTGCTGCCTGTTCGGTCATCCGCGTCCAGAGTAGTCTTCCGGTTGATCCGGCACAGTTGTTTTGCCCGCAGCTGCACCAGACCCGCTAAATGACGCCAACTGTTTCTTGCCGTAACAATGGGTTTTTCGGCCTCGTGATCTGGCGCCTTATGGTTGCCTCCGGTCTGTTTGCGACTTCAATTCCAAGGGGCGTGATAAAGCGGCTGACAGCTTTCGAGACATTCTCGACGTAAGGAAATTTCGTTAAATTCGGAGTCGGTTGCATTTTGTCTCGCATCTTGTTTGCGAAGGCACTGGTTGCCAAAGTTGCACGGGTAGCCACTGGCTTTTAATGCCCGTCGAAGGTATCGCCATTCAGCAACCGTGTCTTCCTGTTCGCTGAAGTGTGTCTCCGAACGCTGGTATAGTGCCCTCAAACAAATGCGTTTGTGACTGACTGGATGATTGCCGTTGTTGTGTTTTTCGCTGTCCTGAATACTTTGTTTTTTTAGGCTAGTGTAATCTTTTTGGCAGACGTGAACATCAACAAAGGCCAGCTGGCTGTTTTCCTCTTCCTTCATAGTAAATTGAATGTCCGTCTTTTGAATTACAGCAGCTGATCCCGCTCGATGACGACGAGGGCATCATCCACATACCGAGCCCAGAATTGCCCTATGTGGTGTCGGAAAACCAGCGACTCCAACCGTTATAGGACCGCCTCGGCTATGAGTCCCGAAATTTGCGAACCCATTGGCGCGCCCTTCACCTACTTGTGGATTGTTCCGTCGAACGTAAAGTACGTCTTGAAACAGAACTGCAGAAGTTGGAGGATTTGGGAATGTCCAAGGCGATTCTCCGTTTCATCGTAATTGTCTCGTAAAAGTAGTTCGATGGTCTCGACTGCCAGGTTTTGCGGAATAGACGTAAAAAGGGACGTGAAATCAAAGGATACCATGACGTCGCTTGGCAGGAGGCTTACCCCTTTAAGTGCTTCCCAGAATTGTTTTGACAAAGTGACTGTATTGGTGGAATTTGCGGTCAGAAATCTGAGACGCCAAAATAGCCATTTTGTCAGTCCGTAATTTGGAGTACCCTTGAGTGAGACGATGGGCCGGATGGGAACACCCTATTTATGCACCTTGGGAAGGCCATAGAAGTGGGCCATGGCCGTGTCCAGGGCTCTCGTTATTCGTCGGTCAGCCGGTAATAATGCACCCGAGTTTTCCAATGCCATCAGCGTATCATTGATTTCTCGTTTTAGTGTTTTTACCGGGTTGGTTTCGCAAAGGACGTCGAACTGTTGATCATCCATCAAACCTTTGGCCTTCTAGTCTGTCCTGTCCAAAACAACCGTGGAGCACCGCTTGTCCACAGGCACGATTACGATATCTTTATTGGTCTTAAGTGCCTTAAGTACAGCACGTTCGATCTTGGGCAGCACTTCGCTCAGTTTGTGAGCCATAAACAGAAATGATATTTGGTGTCGGATGAGGTTCTTGATCTCGTCCGTCGCCTCCGTCTGACTGAGGATAGATTCCACCGCTGCAATCACGCTGACGGGTTTTGCATTAACTGTGTTGAATGAAGCTTCGTGCCGCAGGGCCTGCATTCGATCCTTCGCCAGCTCCTTTGACGACAGGTTGTGCACCATTCTGTCGTTTTTGGGCGACGCTGGATTGGGTAGCTTGTCAAATTTGTTCACTAAAGCTGCGTCTCGTACCGTCGTATGTTCACGGACACGTTCAGACACCACCTGCGGAGCAGATTTGTACCTAAACCGCCAACGAACTCATGGCATTTGGTCTTCTCTAGGTCACTTCTCTGGCGGTCATTGCCAATCCTGGTGTGGCAGTCTTGAAGGGGTGCTCGCATCATTTTTCTGTCATGTTGAAACATACTGCTCGTCCTGCCGACTCCATGTTTGTCGGGGGGCTTGTATGAGATACATTTCGGTAACACGTTGTTGTCGGGGCACCTGTGCAGAAACCGAATTTGCGCATGCGTAGAGGCTCCTCGATGGGCGGAGGTTTCCCATTGTCGGACCGATCGAAGCGCGTTGCGCCCAAACAAAATGTTAATAGAAGTGAAGAGGCGAGTTCCAGGAAGTAGTCGCGAAGAAGTAGACACGATCGCTTGAACAAGAGCTTTATTAACCTTACGTTTCGGACTTTCCATCGAATCCACCATCAGAGACAGATAGGCATGTAGGGGCCTAGCGATTGCATCCTATAAATACTGCAACAACTGGGTAATTTACCACTCCTATCTGACTCTGTCCTTGATGATGGATTCAAGTGAGAATCCGAAACGTCAGACTAATAAAGCTCTTGTTCCGGCGATTTTATCTCCTTCTTCGCAATTACTTCCTGGAACTTACCTCTTCGCTGCTACTAACAAGTCTCCTAACAAGAAAAATGGAGGGATAACCGATATAAAAGAACGCGCCGACAGTTAAAGAGAAGGAAATAATCATCTAATTGCCTTTTTGAGGTGATCTGACCAGAACCTTGCTACTGCTCTTAATTAGCCAGCGGCTAAGAAATAAGTTAATTCTCTCGAGCATGGCCTTTTTTTCTTATCGGAGTCAAGGTTAGAGTACCTTTTCGGACCTTCTTAATGTGGATATACACGTTTACTTATTCTCACAGAACTGGTAATATTGTTTGAAATACAGGCTAATTTACAGACGGATGTGAGGCTATAATCGTGCTTAGCTCAGTCAAGACAAACTAAAGTGCAGCTTCAATGCAAATGTGGTCCACTTGAATGACAGTCGTCGCTAATGAATCAGTTTGATTTGTCTGCATGGCGCCGGCGAAACATTAAACTCTTATTAGAGCGAATGTTTTTAACAGCGCAGGTTGTAGCCATACAGATAGCTAACCATGTGTCTGTTCAAACTATCCAATTGCCCTGTCCCATCCTGAACCTCACACATGCCTACTCGCATCCTATTACACTGACGAAACAGAGTCGCACAAAGCTGACATCCTTTCATTGCCCCGACCACAAAACTAGATCATAATTCCCCGCTCTTCTAAAACGTCATCTGTCCTTTCCATAATTTTTGTTTTTCATCATTCACTGCCCTAATTTGGCGCATGTTAACATGCAGGCCTGATTATGAGCAACCAAGAACGTGTGTTTGTCGAATTTTACTTCCTCAATGTTGAAAACGATATCACCGCAGATTATTTCGAAATGCCGGTTTTGATCTTATTTGCCTAATTTTGGCTGTATGGATTTTCTAACTTCTAATCGCGTGGTCTATTATGAATGTCAACTATCTGTACTTGAGGCAATGAAAAGCCTTTAAAAGTCTGTTGCTCAGTATGGGCTGGAATGGATTGTGCCTTTCTGTCTCTCATTCAGTCCTTCAAAGTTCAGCCTTCGTTAGCCTTAAAGCATCATGTTTACCTCCCCCTCAGTGATGCCGAGGAATTCAATTCTAAGCATACTGTTTACACAAATGCTATTAGTAAAAGGCCTGAAACTTGTGCTTTTCCGTCCTTCAACCCCATCGCATGCTCCTTAGCTTCCCTGGGGGTTACTGAACTAAACATCTGCCCTCGTCTTAGTCTGTCCCTGACAACCTGCACTTTTCTGTTCAAATTGAAATGCGACATGGTGATGTTCTCGCTAGACGTTTTATCACTTTATACAAACGTCTCGGTCACCGAGACAGTTGGTTACATCTGCGAATTCCTACCAACGCATTAGCGAGAAATAGGAATTTCGACGAAAACACTCAACGGACCATTACCAAGATGCACATTAAACGCCCAGTTTCTTTTTTGTCAAACAGACGACGTTGTTAGGGGTTCACCCCTCGGACCTCTCATAGTTGATGTCTTTATGGGTAATCTGGAGAAATTTCAGTTAAACGATCAGATCACTTAGCTTAAACATTGCGATCGTTGCGTTGATTACACCCCAAAACTGCCATCACCGAAATCGACGTAGCCCCTATCTTAAACGCTGTAAATCACACTCATCCTTCGATCAAATTAACGTTGAAGATGGGAACGGCTGGTTCGCCCCCTTTCTTAAATGTCCTTCTAAACAGGAGACCAGACGGTAGCGTCTGAAGGAGCGTTTTAGAAAAAAAAACTCGGTCTTGACAATACATGAACTTTGATAGTTTCATGTCTCTCCAACAAAAAAGGAAATCTCGTCCGGTGTTTGACTCAAAGGGCTGGAGAATCCTAATCGCAGGCAATATCGAGGAGCAGCTTAGAAAGATCAAGGGCTTGCTTCGTGAGGACGGGCATCCTGGCAGGTTTATTGCAAACAGTATTGCCAAGAGACCAGCAAAACCCAACACACTGACTGCGGAAAAAACTTTTCCTCAAAGGTCCTTTTCAAGGCGACTCTGCAAGTGAGACCCTTAGAAGACGCCTTGACCAAGCTGTCTCACGAACCTCCTCATCAGCTAGAGTTCGAGTATAATTGTCTACTAACCCTATTTGTACGGAGAAGGTAAGAATAAGTTACCATCATAGGCCACACCAATGTGCATTTAGTCCTTTACTTGTTCCTGTGGAGCAGGCGTATATTGGCCACCCGAGTCGACCTCTATCCGAAAAAATACGTGAAAACCTCTCGGCGTGGCTGGCAAAAGGCGAAGCTTGGAGCGTAAACAACGCTATTATCGCACACGTTGTTGATTTCGGGTACTGCGTGGACCCCAGGCGAAGCTTTTCGCGTGATTTATAAGGCCCTATCGAGCTACTGGGCCAGCCTCTTTTGGCAACAGCAGTAGCGGCGGTTATCAGGTTACGAAAGTCGGTCTTGTGCGCTCAGGAGAACCTCTTTAAAGCTCCGTGCTTATCGTGGTCTAAGGTCGACCAACTACACATCACTCTCCGCGCCCTTTCCCTTTCATCCCGGCCCATGGCATTGACTCTTATTGATCCCTCATATTCCGACACCCTGCCTGTGTTTTAAGATAAACTTCAATGAATTTCTTTAATCGTCGACATGTTTGGCTTTACCCCCTTACCATAAAAAAATAACCGACCTGACGAGAATTTAGGAAAAGCAACCGTAGACTATTTTGCTGATAACTTTAATTTTTCAATAAAATCAAAACGAACATGTTTTCCGCTGTTGCCATACCTGCCCACACTATTCTGCGAGTCATCCATAACGACTGTCTTGCCAATGTTTACACGTTTATGGACATTTATACTGACTTTGCCGAAATTCCGTACAATTTTCTGTGTATGGTGACATATGTATTTGGCATTTACGGTTGGACATTTTACCGGCTTGCAGACGATTTTTCATCTGGAAAACAATTTATTCGACAGGGAAATTGCAAAGGCATCCTTCTTCCCAAAGATGTTGTAGCACTCTGAGGTGTCGTGCGGCCCGTCATCTTTATTCACTTTATACAATTGGGTTTGTGACATTGTTCTGAGCCAGTAAGCAGAGGATGATGAGGCTTTGTAAGGAAGTCCTGGATGATGCATCACTTTAATCACATACTAGCTTCCGTCTATTAAATTAGCACAAATCAACTTTGTGCTTCTCCAGACTGTGACCATCTGCAAATTCCATGTCTTTAAATAGTCTTTTCAATGAAGTTCTGCCCCTGGCTCTTTCTTGCGGGATGATTTTTTCGACACGATCCACCTAGTAATGGATCGTATTTACCGTCAATGGTTGTCCTTAATTCCCCAGCCGTTAATCTGTTGATTAATTAATGGCTGCGTGATTCCTCGTATTTGCTATTGCATTCTTTCAACCATTTTACTTCATGTATCTGAAGATCTCAGTAACATATTCTATTTGTGAGAAAGAAGTTCAAGAAGATACATGGGAGATTAGAAAGGCACTTCTAACTTATTAGCCATCGTAAGCCATCCATACTCAAATCCAGCTTTGTGTAACATGGGATTCGAATTCGAATTCACCGGTCGTTGAGCGTTATTACGTTCAACGCCCTAACACTAGGCCACGCATCCGGTGTTCTGACAGTTGCGAGCATATCCCACAACATGATCGGTGAATGCACTTCCACTGCACTTTTGTGCTGCCGCAGCGAGTAAAGACTAAGTGTTTTAGCCTGTTGGTAGTTTATGAATATTACACAGTTATCCCGTTGTGACTGATAGACTTTAACCCAGATATCCATATCAAATTCCACTCTGAGCCTATACGTCTAAAATAGGTTGATTTACTCCAAGTTAACAATCAGGTTGTGAGGAAATTAAAAAGCCGCGCTTTCAAAACTGAAGTATCTACCAGCTGGCACACAGGGCATGTTGGGTGACCCACCGATGGGCCGAACCCCTCGTAGCTGTGGCGTACAACGGGCAAATATAGGCGAAACACGGCTTTCGACTCTTGGCCAGTATCTGTAGTCTCGAGTATGGTATACCATACAACCCAAATAATAACTTACTTTCAACACCATCTGGTCTGAACCGTCGAAGGACAACTGACAGAGAAACGGGCCTAGACGTTGACACTCTAGTGAACGAGACAAAGCTTTATCCATTAGACCACCCAATGGCTGTAGAGCAAGGCCATGAAAGGGGCAGCAACTTTTGATGTGTACGACGGGGAAAAAGAAACAAAAGCATTCACCAAAAAGATGGTCCAATTCTATATTTATTGAGACGTCGAAGGCCCAGTAGACATGTGATTTAAAGCTAGTAATACGAGCGGACTCCCAAACAGTCATTCCGCGTTCGAAAAATGTGAAAATGCCACGGTAGGTGCCTAGTTCAGTATCAACCAAAGGCGGTCACAGAATCATCCTTAACAATTAACGGGGATAAAACAGTCCATAACCTATACCCCTTGTAGGAGTTTGGTCGGAAGCAGTTGAACCATAGCGACCCTAGTAATGAAAGCACCTTGACCAACACAGTAATCGGGGCCCAGCCCTGTTTCGGGGGTGAAGGAGAAGGACACCAGCAGGAACCGCATATTCAGCACACAGGCCTGTTGGTATTCGGAATCTCCGACGAGCGGTCTACGCGCGCGTCTGTCCGCTGACGTGATGAAGGGGGGGGGGAGAATTAGTAAGTGTCATTTGCAACTTAAAAGAGTGTGCATCGGCTCCTTCTCCATGTGGCCTCTATGGCACTTTAACCCACATGAAATTCGAGCAGCTCACCCCTTCCGTGTGAAAACTTGGTGTTTTGTGTTGGGGTGGGGGCGGTCGGGCGGTATGTGGCACGCGTAATGGGCTGTTTGGTTCCGTCTGCCACTGAGTGCGACCTCAGCATCAAATTGACTACTGCATGGGAGAGGGAAGGGAGAGTGGGGCCGACTTTGTAGAGTTCATCCTCATGGCACCTCGGTGCATTCCGACAGGCTTGAATGCACCAAAAGCCGTGGCTTGAAGTCTACCATACTCGGGATGGCGATTTCAGGAAAAGAAGCAGAATGATGCGCAATTTTCGCGAAACTATCTCGACTTCAGATAGTTAATCATTATCCTGACCATCATCTGGGACCAGAAACATACTCAGATAGCCCACAAACGGGGTCTATCAGATAAACAATGAGCACTTCATCGAAACAAGGCACATCAGTGCGCCCCCACTTGACAATATCTGTTGCTACAGGTCAGGCATTACTTCTCCCACGAATGGGCCCACATCGGTACATTGGCTTCAGAATTATGGCGGGCTGAGTGAAGGCAGAATAAGCCCGAAACAGTTGTGTTTCAATACACCTCTATTGTCTGTCGTCGTCTTCTTTCGCACGCATACCTAGGTTGAGTTCAGCCTGGCAGATAGGTGCCTGTTCGTGACCTCTGCCACCCATTTGGAGCTTGTTTACTTCGGGAAGCCTGTAAGTCGAAGTGCTTCTGTTTATCTTTGAATATATGGATAAATATAGATTGAGTAACAATACCGACGAAAACAACGGAGACTAGAATGGCCACTTCTGGTTTATTGGCCGTCGTCAGCCAGTCATACCCAAGCCTGAGATGTGGAACATCTGGAGTCTGATCCTGCGAACTGTTAGTTGGAAGACCAACACTCCTAACCACAGAGCCACGGCTCGCTGTCCTGTTGGTTTTGATCGGGAATAGACAATGGTAGAGGGGCGCTCACAGATCGTGTTACGGAACACACTCGTCCTGTTACTCTGTCTACCTCACGCGGCGATGTGCAGCTGCTGGTTGGGCTCAAAAGAGAGCCCCAAGGCAGAGCGGGACGAGTGAGTTCCGTGACATGATCGGTGAGGGGTCCCCTACCATAAATAAATATTTATATAAACATATTATGATGGAAAAGCAGTACCGTCAAAGACAGGGGGACTGCAGAAGCCATTTCTGGCTCATTAGCCGGAATTAGTCAATCTTACTGAATCCCAGATTGTTAGAACCTGAGGCAGGAATACGTTCTTCCGTCTTCGAGCGTTATTACGTCCAGCACTTCACTTTTGATCACGGTACCCTTGTCTTGCGGTTGTGATCGGTAATTTTAACTGTAATGGAACTGCGCTCTAGGTTTCAGTCAGCAATTCTCCTAGCGATTTTTAATGATGCAGATGTGTACCAACAAAGACACGTGAGACTAGAGGGGTTATCTCTAGCTTATTAACCGTTGCCATCAGCTCGTCTTACTCAGACCCAGGATTAAATGGCCTGGGATTTGAAAATATCTACTTAGAGTAAATTCGTAAAAGATCAATACCATTGCAACTGCCGTTCGCCAAAGTAACTGCAGAGTTTGTTCTTTTTACTTTGACGTCAAAAAACTGAATGATTTTCCCTCCCAAGTTGAGATCCCTAGGTCACTGTCTGGAGGGGAGTCGGCAGTGCTGGCGGTTCTACTAGTCCCCAGTCAGATTGCTGGCTCGGTGTTAAGCCTCTGCCCCAGCACGAAGACTCAATCTTATCTGCGGTGTCCAAAAACACTTCGGCATGCATGGAACCCTTGGTGGTCAGGAATACGCATAACCACTCCGAACCCTGATCCGATTTCAAGTGTAAACAAAGTACGAAGTCGATTACTTTGTTCTCGGCGCTGCCTGAGAACGCAGAATGGAGTACAAAACCATACACACGCTCGTCACTCTTGTTTACTTCTTATGTTGTAAACAGATGCGAGAAGTGCATTAATTAGCCTAACAAGCACATATTCGACTTTAGATATCGCTCAGAAAGTTTAATCGGAAGTTGTTTCTAGGGACCCTTTCAAGTGACCACTGTTTGTGTGAAAAGGTTAAGAAAAGTCCGCCTGTTTCTGATCTGACCCAAACAGACAAAGTCTCAGAGCACGAACTGTCTTGGGCTTTTCATTTCATTACGCGAGGCTATAATAAATTGCACAACCCTCTAATCGTTACCCGAACCGGAGGCCTCGCACACTGTCGGGCATATAAGGAACGACAGACATAATAGCTATAAGTTCTGCAATTTAACAACCAAGACCCACAAAGGGGTGCGTTATTACAAGTTACAGTAGAAAGTATCCGCTGATGAAAACCCTTAACCGTGCATTGTGAAAGGCTGCAGCTTAAAAATGGGAAGGGGCCAAATTCAGGCAAACTAGATAAATCAGGAAAAAGGTACAGTATGCGGCCTACCTGATGAAAGGTATCGAATTCTACAAGTGAATGCTGATTACCAACAAACCGACACCAGTGCATGGACCCAATATCTATACCAATAGAAAACAACTTTAAGGAAATCAAAAACTTAAAAGAAATATTAAAGGTGATGTTACGTTGATTAGAAATACTAAATCTTTAAAAAATCGGGAAGTTTTAGAAATGGTCAAAATGATTGTAATTGTATAAACTTCAGTTTTAGGTGTACAGAAAGCCGGCCTCTGCCAAACACTGATTAAAGCTGAGAGTAAAAATTGAATAACGTCTAAAAATAGTCTTTCAGTGAAGTTTACATTTAAAAATCCTTTGAGACTAGTGTAACGTCAGGTATGGTGCTTTGTCAACAGCCTATATTCTGCGTATAGGTCCAAAAACGACTTCACATTAATTCTTTTGTGTCTTTTAAGCTTTGCATTGATTGAGATGTGGTTCACTGCGACAAACAGGATATTGCTTGATTTTGCCGACAAGGACGTCATAGAGCTAAACGTTTTCATAAGCAAACACGTTGCCAGACCGATCAGAAACTAATAAATTTTAGCAGAATTTACAGGTGAAGTCGTAAACACATCAATGTGTAAAAGGAGAAGGCTCGTCGGAAAATCGAGGTATACTCGTGAATTTTCAAGTCGGTTACACCAACCCGTCGTCAGACGAAAATGAAAAGTGTGTATAAAACGGGAACGTTTCTCCGTGAAATGAATTTGTGCTCATCGTTTGTTCTGGATTACGTTGACTTTCAGCTCGGCCTTGAAATTTTGCTGAATACTAGGTGATTACTGCACTTTATGTCACGAAATCACATGGATTTGCCAATCTGAATTCTAAAAGTCAATAAAACGCTTGATTTTCTAAAAATAATTCGCAATTTTGCAAACTGATTCCCACATTTAACATCGAACGAAAATCGGATTTCAAGTGCGGCATGCTCTGTTTAGTAAAACTCTCAAGAGCAAATTGATCTCCATTCAACGAAAATCACGCTGAAATGCGCAACCGAAATTTAGGACAGGTATTATCCTAGAAAATTGCCAAATATATCGCGACGTCCATTTGTGCTCAAATTTGTGCAGATTTGGTTCGAAAAAACTGCTCAGACTAATTTTCTGCAAAAGGGAATTTGCCTGAAAGAGCTGGGCGAGCGATAAAAATGCTCAATGGCTGTGGTGTCCGAAAATTCTCATACCCGTTTCTGTCATCAGGTTTCATGAGATAGGTGACGTACTACAGACTCCTTATTTGTGACAACTCTGATGATAACTCGGGAACTTTAAAGGAAGCAGTGTTTGTGGGCAAGTTCACGTCTACAGAGCTGCCACCTGAACTCGTTTACGATTTGATCGCGAATACCGGTCGCTCGGACAGAAACGTGGGCTCAAGTTTGTAGCTTTTCATAGGGTTCTCATTGCCACTGTGAAGCCTGCGAGTGTAAGCAATCATCTGGTCCTCTCTGTGGTTGTAACAGTCGACTAGGGTGATTGAGTTTGTCAGCCCTTCCTTAGACAAACAGACGCACAGCAGAGGCAGTTAGCCACGGTGCTCAGATACCAAAGGGGGGGGTTGTCAGCTTCCTGTCAGACAAGAGTAGCAAAAGCAAGACAGAAACCTAGATACCGAAATCTGACAGGCGTTAAAAACATGGACAAAGGACATCGCAACGAACATTTCTGAGGTATTCGAGAAACCATTCCGCCATTAGGACACCGGATGCTTGGGTTTGAGTAAGTTGGCTGTCAGCCAACCGAGCACTGTCTGTCAGCTATAATCGAATTTGTGTAAAGTGGCATGACGACAGCGGCCATCGATCCTTCTTGCATGCAGAACGTAAGTTCCTTTTTTTCACATCAGCCCTGAACTTTCAGATCTAGAGACCTTGCAAGAAGCCTCGTGGGGATTGGTATTCGGTAACTGACAAGTATTGATGATAACGACAGGTGACGCTGGATTGGCGAATTGTGGTCAATCTTCCACACCAGTCAACAAAACCTCCGTTCCTGACTTGAACCTGCGTCCCTTCTCATAGACCAAGACTTCTGTTAGTTAACAGAAACACAACCAATTTTAGTTAGAATTTTCAAAGAAGGATCTGTACTGAACGTCCAAACATGTGCGTACACGTACATGCCTTGCGCCGCCCACTGTGCACACGACTGTTGACGGGCGGAAAATTGGCTAGGACACCAAACGCTCTGGAAGCATCCGTTATTTTGTCCACGTGGATTGATCACACAGGCCTCTACACGTTGAGAGCTAATAGTTAGCGTTTATAAGCACAAAAATCAACACAAATACTGGATACTTGGTTTATAACACTATATGGCTCCAGTTAAGGTGATGAAGATAGTCGTTTCATGTACGCTCTTAGTTAACGTTTTTACTCCACAAACGACACTTAAGAACTGACAATGACATAAGAGGATGCATCTAAACGTGAAAGATTGTTCGATTACTACTGTGGTAAACCTGCATGGAGGACAACAAGACAAGAGTTTCTTCTCCTTCTTCTTCACTACACAATCCAGATTAATTCATCTTTCCCCTGGCGTGACTACTAATTTTCTGAGTGCAGTGGCATTCTTTTGCCTCCAGACCACAAACGACGTGCAACTAACTTGAAATAGTGAAGATAGGCAACACTGTCTTTTATATCTCATCCATTTTCGGGCCAGTTTTGTGACTGGTCTGTCTACCGTTGTATATACCCGATAGCAACTGACAGTGTAACGAACCCGCGGCTCAGTAGTTAGGGCGTTGGACTTCTAACCAACAGGTCGCGAAACTGAGCCCCAGATGTTACACACCTCAGGTTTGGGCATGACGGGCTGACGACGGATAATAAACCAGAAATGGCTGCGTCTGTCTCCCTTGTCTCTGTCAGTAACGTTACTCTGCCTACATTGAGCGCTGCAGTGCGGCTGCTGGCAGGGCTCGAGAGAGAGAGAGTCCCGAGGCATAAAAGGATGAGGGAGTCTCATAGCACGATCAATAGGCGTCCGACTACCATTAGTTTGCCTTCATCTAGTTAAAAACGAGAGTATTATAAAGGATGTTTACGGTACCCACTGCTTCCTTAGGATGTCCAGTTTTGATATTTAACTTTCTTTCTTTTAGGTATGGTTTGTTCCTTAATTACGGATATCTGGTAGTCCGTTGGTTGCTTTCCAACTGTAGTCATTGCTTGAAACTGCAGCAGTGTTCTTGCCGTTTCTAGAAATATCCAAACAACGCACACTAAGACACTCTCACAAGCAGCATATTATGCAGATAAAGTTTGATTGACTTAAACGTCCTGTTAAATATGTTACTTTGATATCTATTCAAACGCCAACGTTCCAAAAAATCTAAAGACAGCTGAGGTTCCCGTTAAAATTTAAAATCCACAAAAGCCCAAAAAGTAACTCACATAAAATTTTCCCGAGCAGGCTACGGATAGGACCTAGTGTTTGGATAAAGTGGTCAGTACCAATTGGAGGCGCTGCACTTACGTCATACTGCAGACATTTAAGTCCTACCTTGTTTAATTTCCTAGGAAATTAATGCGCGAAATTGGAGTAAATCCTTCCGAACAGACCCTTTTAGGCACGGTCTAAAATTTGATACGAATATTTGAGTTGAAATCCATCAAATACTGCGGAATAACCGTGTAATATTCACAAACCGCCAACAGACAGGACCAACCTGAAAAAGTATGTTCCGAAGGAGTTACTCCAATTTCGCGCATTAATTTTATCGGAAATTAAACAAGGCGGAGTGCAACTGGAGTTCATATACCAGAACACACACGGGGAAGGCTGGGGGATCCAATGTTTATCCGAACTCCTCGCAGCTGCATCATGCAGCGGCACATGATCGGCGAAACACGCCTGTCTGGACTTTTAGCTTATGTTGTCAGCATGGTAAATGATTATACGATTTTAAGACCCCGCCCGTTGACTCAGAAATAGAACCATTGTACTGTCTTGAATAATCGTCGTGTGCTTTTTGATTCGATAAAATGTCCTCTCTCCTATCTACAGTGTCTAGCTCAATAAAAATCGCGCCTGGCATACCCAGAGACTAAATATGAAATTAAATCTATGTGGCTTTTATGGATATCGTCCACAAGTAAGTGCGAAATTACGTTAAGCGCGGACGAAATTTGTTCCGCAGTAGTCCACTTGCAGACCAGGATTGCTAGTGAATGAATGGCTGAGGTGTTAAGGGGATGGGATATAGTCGGAGGGCAGCCTCTCTGGCCTCCGAGTTTACACCTCGGACGCAGTTGATGGTGTTCTAGTTACTGGTTTCTCTCTAACGTAGTAAATAGAATTTAAATACTACAAGAAATCTGATGAGAAAATCCCATAAATTATTGCCAATATGAAGTTAACTCCTCGGTTAAATCTTCCGTTTTTGAGGGGCATTAGTGAACTACAGAAAGGTTTGACCGAAATTCCGACTGGGGTTTTGGGTACCAAGGCCTTCAAGCTTTTGTTTGGGCATTCTTTCGGCTACCTGTGAAAGTTGCAATGAGAAAAGTCGTTACTTACTTTTGATAGTTAAGTACTTGAGACACTTCCAGACTGAGCTGTTTCAACTTTCCGATATGCAGTCCAACCGTTTTAGCAGACTGAGCTATCTGAACTGCAATACTCGCGAACATTGGAAGTTTCATCAGGAGGACGTGAAGATTTACTTAGAAACTGTATTCAGTATACAGTTGACAAGCCACAGGGACAACTATAAAACTTGGTTGTGCATTAAAGATGCACATGAATTAAAAACTTTATTTGCAAATAGTTGCTAACCAGGGTTATACGTAATCAAAGTCGGTATGCTGTAATGTATAAGTCGGCTCAGGACCCTATTTATGGTTGTCCTGTACTGAAACGCGGTTTAGGTTGTCTTTGCTTATCTAAAGGTGCGTTGCAAGGCCAGACGGTTGGCCTGAATTATTTAATTAAAAAAGACGGATACATTTTTGACTACTCTTTCTTCAATAATCTAGTGAAACACTGAACTCACGCATGTCAGGTGCGACTTCCTCCCATGCTGCAGTATCAAGCAGAAATGAAGGATAGGTTTTTCAGAAAACAGGTATGTTTCCAGGGATGTATGTTGTTCTTAAGTTGCCTATGGGGCCTGGAAAATTTGGAGTGTCTCCACATAAACGGACAGAGGGAAATGCTTAGTCTTCAACTAGCCGAACAAATAACAACAAACGAAAAATAACGCGTACTATTGATACTCGAGTCTTAATAATGCCGTCAAAAGGAAAGAAAGTACAGCTGTTCATATGTATGACCTTAGCACTTGCAAGTGGACTTTTTAATTTTGACCCAACTGCACAAAACTCGGTGTCTCAGTAGGATTCGAATCCACGACAACTAGAGGAGGCTTGAGTACAGCCAAAGCTCTTGCCACCTGAGCTAAGAGACCCCACCAGGAGACGTGAGTTTAATCACACTTGGGTCAAGTTGCCCAGGTCTGCAAGGTCTGGAATCCGCCAAGTCTGATACAGCAAGCTGACTGCCCAAGCAGGATTTCTCAATTAATGCATCTAGAATCCCCAGGTAACTACCAGGTTCACGTAATTAATAGTTACCTTAACAGAATTTTGACCCAACTGTGAAAAACTCGGCGCCTCGTTGGGATTCGAACCCACAGCAGTGAGGGGTGGCTTTAACAGCCTTTTAGAAAACGGACATTTTTACAAAGGCCCTAAATCCGCTGTCTGCTAAGACTGATCTCCAGGCCATAACTCTCAATTTTGACTGTGAATGACATGCAACATGCGGTTCTGCCACAGTTCGAACATACATGTTGATATGTGAGAAAGACTGCTCACTGTATCCTTCAAATAAAAACAGAGAGTGACCAGCAAGCTTCTGAAACGTACTATCGCTAGAACCTGGCCATTTTCCTCTCCCTATCAAACATCCACCGTCCAGTTTTGGCACACCTCTTTGTTAGCTTATGACAGTGGGTATTATTAACAGCGACACGGATATTTTCCAAGGTAGCCAATTTCATGCCCGTTTGCTTCCTAGTACTACCTGCCCGACTTATTTCCCCCGTTTGGTAGATGTTTACATTGGCGGTAGACCTTGTCCCTGCAAAGACCTACGTGTGAAATTCGCTGTAGCAATACGGTGACCGGATCAGGGTCCGGTACGCGTTCGTGCACTGCACACCGCATAAGCGTCATACGTGGAGGTGTGGCGGCACGCATATGTCCGCGCTCACATCGCGCCAGCCACCCGTGCTCAATTCTGTACACGGTTTTCCTAATTTCGTCTTGAAACCGGGCTAAAGTGGGCGAAAAAGAGAGGGCGAGTTGGATGCTGCGCAAGTCTACTATCACTAATCCCCATGCAAGTCACCGTCCCTGTTCCCACCCTGCTTTGAAGCGCACGGTGGACATTGTGGGTAACAACGGTCGACAGATCGCGTCGGAAATGTCAGAATAAGTGATGGGGACAAGAACCCGAAGGCGATAAGCCAACTGGCCTCCCAGGAAAAGCCCAGAAAATTAGCTCAGATGCACCTAAGCCTACGCCAAATTAATATCCAACGTGAAATAAGAATCCTGTCTGTTGTCAATCACGAAACTCCGGAGGGATAATGAGGTGAACGAACATTTTAGGAGGAGGAAGTCGCATTCAAAATAATGTAGAAAATTGGGCTGAAGGATGGTGATATATGTAGAAGTAAAAGAAAATTGGAAGCTCCTGGTCTCAAGGGACAGAAAAAACGGCCAAAAACAAGGTTTGCACTTTAAGGCTGATTGACTCTTGCAAAACCAAATAGGCAGTAAGATCCACAGCATTCCACGCGCGACTGCAACAAAATGCCTACATTCGAGGAGCAACTTGCTGACCGTAGTCAATGCTGTAAAATTTTTACAAATTTTACAGGAAACGGGATATGAAGTTCTGTTCTGGTCCACTCGATGACCAAGAAACTCACATAAATATTGACCTGGCTGCGGGCAGTTTAAGTACCTGGGGTAATTACGCAAAAAAACTAAATCATAGTACAAATAATTTCATTCAGAGAGAGGGCCCAAACACTATACTTCGGCAGTAGCCGGGGTAAATACAGGTTAATACTAGAGTAGGGGACATTTTCCGGAGAAAAAACATCCCGTGTAAAACTGTCTAAGATTCCTAAATCACTCAAGTATTTTTGTCCACTTGTTAGAAAGGAAAAACCAGTTGCGTTGACACGACATCTGAACTAACCAGCTTGCAGAGCTAAAAGCCCGAGAATGATTGCGCGGGATTATGCGTGTCGACGTTGGCTGATATCTAGAACGCAAGGACTCTTCACCTTCAAGTCTCAGTTGCCCCACTTCTCGTTCATTTCACCACCGGGGGTAGCCAGTTTTATGGGCACTTTACGGCTGCAGTTCAAGCTCCCATCTCCTTTTCCTAGTTACGGCCAAATGGAAAAATAATAGATGCTTCTTATTTATAGTGCTAATGGACATATAAAAAGTACTTTTTAGTGTCCGACTAATTCGGTCGTCTTTTTGGGCACTCTTGGATCGTTTCGGTCCATCCTGCTTATTTATAGGCACAGTTCTCTCACTAATACTCCGTCACAGAGTGATATTGAAAATAGTTACCAAGGGCTTAATCGACAGTCCTTGGGCTGCTAATTTCCGTATCCATGCAAAATCGACTGCAGACAAAAAATGCCGTCATTTTTACTGAACGGCATGACAAAGAAAAGTGGGAGTATTTGCCGGTTGCTACTTATATATTTGTTAACGCCTTTTGATTGGGTTAAACGAAATACTATCAAACGTGTTTGCTGCTGCACTTTACTGCAAAAGTGCCAAAACTTTGCAAATTATAAAGTGTAAAGCTGAATCCGTCCCTCGTTTTCCGATAATGATGCGATTTCTCATACCAGGCTCCACCTGGACTTCCGAAACGCCAAATCCAATTTTCAACCTCTATAAGGGATGGACCGAACGTTTTCGTGGTCGCAGTCACACGCTTAAACAGCAATGCGCACGAAACAAGCGACCTCAGCTTGTGATACTCAGTAGCATAGGAAATTACTTTTATGACAGGAAAGACCCCGTTTAACCTTAAACTGACGTGTTCTGCTTTAAGTGAAAACAGAAAAGAATCCCTCACCAGTAAAGAGCCTTCTGCACTTCAAATTAGTCTAGTAAACATCAGCAATAATGCCCAATGTAAGCCACTTGAATTTCGCTTACAACATTTAATGAGTTTCGTCACCTATTCCAAATCCGCGGCCGCCATACCAAAAGAGTGACTCTTTGCGATATCGTGGACTGCATTTGGAGACAGCAGGCATTTGTATTGTACAACCAATTTGTTTTCCTTTGTACGCGATCCTAGCTTGCGTCCTGCTGGGCCTAGTTAAAACCAGTAGCGTTGTTTTGCCAATGAAACCTTGAATTGCGGTATTCGGCCGTGCCAACTGGCACTCAGCTCATTTTAATAGTGTAACGGTACTGGTTGCAATTGTTGTCGGTTTTGATCGTGTAACGGTAAGGCCTTGTACCCATCACAGCCCAGTTGAGACTCGGCTTTTCTAACGTCTTGAACTTCAACATCAGTCACACAACAAATCAGCACAATGTGACACCACATAGTACCGTGGCATTCTTGAGGAGGCTGTTGGAGGACACGAATAGCACCAGTGACCGGCAGATGTGTGACCATCTAAGACAACCCGCGCAGCATCTACCTAAAGTCCTGAATCTAGCTAAATCCGGACGACTTTCCGCCAGTCTTTGTGAACAGTCTCAACGCCTTTTACGGGTTAAATGCAAGTTAGTATTTTCTCTTTGAGGCGTCGCCAGAATTACCGCCTTCTTGGCACGAAAGCCACAATCAAAAATGCCCTTTCAAGTCCATGCCGTTAGCGCGGGTAGGTGGGAGGTTGTGAAAACAAAATTGACTGGCTGTTGCTTTAGGTAAAGGCATAACCGTTAAAAAAGGATAAAGGTGAGACCTATGTTTGCCTTTTTTATTGTCCGAGAACCCAAAATATGTCAGACAGGAAACCCAAAAGGCGTTAAAAATATTATCTTACCACAGGCTGTAGTGCTCATAAGTTCAAATGTAGTCGCGACTCGGCTAACGGTTTGTTTGGCCAATTCAAACTCTACTAGCAACACATGATTTCTTCCAGTAGGCATGGAAAACCCCGCGAGTTGGAGCTACTTGACGTATAATCAAAGTAACTTTCTGAAATTAAATGCGTTTCCATGGAGTATTGTGCTTCTTAGGCTTACTTGGGGCACGCGCTGAAGACATGTGGGGAAGAAATTCCAAAAAATAGACATACAATATTTTTGCATTTTGCAGATGGGTGTGTAATTTAGGGTATTTAAAAACCCTGCCAGCGCTTGGGCGGTGGCTTAAGAGATCACGGACGCTAGTGCGCCTCGCACCCAATGTGTGAAAAACGAACGATTGACTGCTTATGATGATGATAATGATAAGAATGATGACGGCGAAAACGAGGTCACTAGTGAGTACAAAATCGGGCAGGCAGAGGACCAGCGTTCGCTTACCTTGACCAAAACCAACTATAAGGGAAACACCAAAGAAAATAGCACAATTGTCCGAAGGCCATTTTCCGTAGCGCGCCAGCGCAAGTAAAGCTGTTGCAACTAAGTGTCATGGACGCTCGACTGTTTCATGAAACCAACGATTATGCGGATCAAGAGAAGATTTTGACTAACATCTTAGCAGTCATCTTGTAATCATCGGAGGCCGGCCCTCAACGTTGTCCTACCAGCATGCAATGCTCTTCACAGCTCCTATATATTTTCACGTCATTAAAAGCTATTAAGGCCAAGTGGCATGGAAAAAACTGTAGTTTAAGCAACGTAGAATGCCTACTTTTAGCTCCTGGAAAACCATAATTCCGACCGTATCCAACTAAAATGCAGTAATTATACAATTTTAAAAAAGCATCATACTTGTCAACAATTCTTATGCTTCCCCGTACCCAAAACATCCCGACGATCGAAAGATAGGTTCTTACTGCATCAACACCTGAATTCCAGTCCTCCTGTTAAAAACGCTGCAATGCCCACCTAGACTCATTGGAAATGGACATTTTGGCTGATCCAAATCCCAGAGCTTTAAAATGCCTCTTTCAGTCTAGCCTTGAACACCTTCAATAGCAGACCAGAGCACGGAGAATTTGTAAGCATCACGTCCCATTTTGCAACTGCTGATAGTTTGGGCGAAATTAGAATCCATGACAACAGCTAACCCCAAGTTTAAGTCGCCTGACAGTACACAGTAAGCACACTGTGTCCAAAATGAAGCCGCTTATGTACACTTTCATTCTATTGTCTGACAGTTAGCATCGTCGACGGCAATGGCAAACGGTAGCAAACAACAGCAACAAAAGTTCCTTCATGTGCGCTCATGGGCCCTTCTTGTGTGCTTCCGAGTGTGACCAACGTTGAAAGAAGGTCCCGTGACGCTTGTTGAAACAATTAAATGGTCACATCCACTTCGGCGGTGGACATATTTGACATGTTGCAGCAATGTTGTCCATCGTAAAACTTAATATTCATTTTGGCTGTCAGCTGATAGGCGTGTTCAGTCAAGGCTGTTTTATGATAGTCGAAAGTAATCACGCCGTAAAAATCATTTAATTTTGCTTTCTCTCAGCAGTTGTCGGGTTTACACAAATGAAAAAACGAAAGTCTCGAATAACTGGTTATTTTTGGCTTAAATCAATGTCAAATGTGCAAAACGATTTCCGATGGGAAGGCACTAAAACAGCGTCCGTGAGAGGTCCAGTTTCATTATGGAGTAATTTTGGCTGAAAGTTAACAAAAGGTTTTTTGGCATAGTCGTACTGCACTTCTGAATGAGTATCGTAGAAGCAGGAGTCCGATACATCAGCTCGTTCCTGCTCGTTTTACAGGGCGTTAGTGTTCATCGTAATGCTGGGGATATTATTGATAAGACGGACTTTCAAATGGTTAGAGTTAGGATTTACTTTTCCTTCCGATTTTCCTCCCAGGTAACTGTCGACCTTCTAGGCGCTGTACCAGTGTTGGAGCTTATTGTGGGCATAGTCCAAACAGTTGTGCTTTTCACGTTACATAGGTGCGCAAATAGCCTTTAAGTGTTGTGCGCTAAGAAAGCAAGTATTTGTTTCGTCAACAGGCTCCATGCGAGGTAGTTATATAGTGTGGGCGCAACTATAAAAGCCGTGAGCGTGCTTCATCAACAAACAGGGCGTAAATGACGCATCAACCGTCACTTACTACTTCAAACGAAGGATCGGTTAGCGTGTGCTGTCAGTAAGTTCGGGAACGGATGGATTTGGAGCAGTGAACATACCTATAGAGGAGAAATAAATCCTTCAGATAGTGTCACAACTGTCAGCCAAAATAAGGTCCCCATGTCTTTTTTAACATGATGCCTATAGAAGAACAGCGAAGGGACGCTCGAATGAGACCTTTGCTCCTGCTTTCAGTGCTGCAAAAGTCCAAACAGGGAGGTGAGGGTGGGATGGGGACAAGCAACCATCTTGAACGACATCGCGGAGCAAAGCTACGCCGATAGAACGAGTTAGCACTTGCTCAGTGGGATTCTCGCCACGTTAGCCTTTCTCGGGGGGGCTAACTCCTGAAATGTCAACCGAAATCCCGAAATGCGTTTTTGTTTCGAAAAGATTACTTATGTGGCGTTGTAAAATTAATCACTATGCAGCATAATTCTATGATACTTCCATTACCTCAGGATGCCGGCCTTCGAATAAACCTCCCTCCGGCTGCATGCAAAAGCTACACTCTGTAGAAATTGATTACTTAAGTGACATAAAAATTTCTCATTGATTTTCGATACGCCTAAATTTCCAATTATATTTCATGGAAAACATGCATAAAAATATTCATTATTTTGCTCATTCGGTATATAAATACGTCTTCTTCTAATTTTATGCTCGAAGGAGGGATATAATTCGGTTTTTAGGGCGTCACCTATAAATACAGAGGAGGAAAATCTTTACTCCGCTGCCTCACTCGAAACCTCCTGCACTTGCCTTCTTTTGTTCACCCGATGTACAGGTGCCAAATATGTTGACGTCAATAAAACCCTTCAGGTTGTCTGGAAACACCAATATAACAGCAAAACCCTTTCGGTATCGGTTGTCGGTCAGAACGAAGGCGAAGTCAATGTGCCAGTCCAGCTCATTGTTCTCGGATTACAATTGTGTCCAAAGCAAACGTAAAATTGCCCAAAGGTCTTCCGATTCTTTCTTTGGGCATTTCCGCAAGTTCAAAAGAATTTTGTCGGGGCCGTACAATCGCTGTGACCGCCTGAAAATCTGTCGACGACCAACGGCCATATGATACTCTAGTAATCTGATCCATATTCACGAACACACACTTCACTCCGAAAACCTGCCGGACCGTTCCTGCTTGAGGAGCTGCCGACCCCTCTTTTATGGTATCTACGTAGATCTCAGAGTGATATATTTTTGCACAAGCATGACAAGAATTTACCGGAGATCCTTGCTTGCTGTACCGTACCCTGCTTAATTATAAATGCAGATAGCAAATGAAGCGTCATTGCCCATAGAACTTGAGTTAAGTACTGTGGAGAAAGGGAGAATCATTAATCGAGACTATGAAAATCCCACATTCCATCTTCTGCTTGAGAGTTATCATCGTGTAGAGATATCTCAACACAGGACGCCTGCTGACACGCGGTTTGAACGTTTTTAGGTAAAATACTCCGATCACGTAAACTACCGGGTCCACACTTTGTCAGCTTAGAGGGACGAAATGCAAGACTAGAAAGATACTCTGTTCATAACATGTGAAAAGCCCAAGGTAGGATGTGGTTATCTAGCCACATCTGATAGACAAAATACTGTTGACCTACTTACTTATTTTGAATTGGTGTGATTACGTTGGCGTGATGTTACTGTGCGTTGCGGTGTGTGTGTGTGTGTGTGGTTGTCGGCCTTGTCGGGGTGTAGGGGTGTCCAGCGGTGGGTTCACGTGAAGGTCGTAGTGGTCGCTCACTTGCTTGCAGGTGAGACTACGCCTAGCGTCCATTTGCTGGCATCCAACTCTCACCTGTGGCTCCACGTAGCTGGGCTCTGCTCAGCGGCCACACCCCGGGCAACCGCCTCGACCGGCGGGCTAAACCAGGTGAGGGCGCTGTGCGCTTGTGCCGAGTGCACAGTGTACTGCGGACTCCGCTGGATGTTTGGTCGGATGAAACACTGCGCCGGCATCGTCGAGACGAGGCTCTGCTTGGTACGCCGTTGGACAACTGCTGCCGGGACGGGCCTCCGCATCGCCTTCGCTGAGACGCGCCCACCTTCGCCGACGGAGACCGCGGACCTTCGGCATATGCGGTCGTTCTCCACTACAAACATAAAAGTCGTGGCGCCATAGTGGGATTCGGTCGCGCCAACCAGGCACATGGGCAGCCCGATTCAGGGGTGGCACTGCCTGCTCCCGCAAGGAGAAGGGCCTAGAAAAGGTGGCCTAAAAATTGCTGGGCACCACGCCGTCTGCAGGCCAGCCAAGGCCGCAGATGCCATCAACACGGTCGAAAAAATCAAAATCGAAACAATAACAGTACCAATAACAACAACAACAATCTTACTCACTCTCCTCATCCTAACTCTTCTTCCACTACCTCTGTCTATTCTTCTGCCTATTCTTCTCCTTCGTCATCTTCTTCTCCACCTCTTTCCCGTCGCCCCACTCGTTTTCCCCAGACTGACAGGGTGAGCCCGCTCACTCTGGCAGCCTGGAATGTTCGTTCCCTTTTAGACAATCCGAGGAGCAACCGACCGAAACGGAGGACGGCGCTAGTGGCCCGGGAAATGGCGCGCTACAAGGTGGACATCGCCGCACTCAGCGAGACCCGATTCTCCGAACAAGGCCAACTGCAGGAGGTGGGTGCCGGCTACACCTTCTTCTGGAGTGGTCGACCCAAGGCAGAGCGACGGGACACGGGTGTCGCCTTCGCCATCCGGACCGACATCGTGGGACGACTGCCCTGCTTGCCGCAGGGAATCAACGACCGGCTCATGAGCCTCCGCCTGCCTCTCCGACGGGGAGGCAAATTCGCCACCATCATCAGTGCCTACGCTCCGCCGATGAGCAGCCCCGACGCCACCGCGAGAGACAAGTTCTACGAGGACCTGCACGCCCTCCTGGCGACTGTGTCGAAGGCGGACAAGTTGATTGTCCTTGGTGACCTCAACGCCCGCGTCGGCACGGATCACACTGCCTGGAGGGGAGTGCTAGGCCCCCACGGTCTCCGCGGCCTCAACGACAACGGTCTGCTGCTGCTCCGCACCTGCGCAGAACACCGCCTCATCCTGACGAACACGTTCTTCTGTCTGCCGGAACGAGAGAAGGCCACCTGGAGGCATCCTCGGTCGCGTCAGTGGCACCTGCTGGACTATGTCCTCGTTCGGAGGCGAGATCAGCGGGATGTGCTGGTGACGAAGGCGATCGCGGGTGCTGACGGGTGGACCGACCATCGCCTCGTCATCTCGAAGATGCGTATTCGCCTACAGCCTCGCAGGAAACCACAAGGTAAGCGACCCCCAGGTAAGCTGAATGTTGCTTTGTTGTCTTTGCCTGCTCACCGTCTCCATTTCAGCAATGAGCTAGCTCAACGGCTAGACAACCTTCCTATCGCTGCCGCCGCCGACGACGCCGCCGTTGCCGCCGCTGCCGAGAACGCCTCCGTGGAGAATCGCTGGTGTCAACTGCGAGACACGGTCCAGTCGACGGCGCTCGCCGTCCTCGGTCGCGCTCCCCGCCAACACCAGGACTGGTTCGACGACAACGACGCTGCCATCAGAAATCTGCTTGCCGAGAAGAACCGCCTACACAAAGCCTACGTAGATCACCCCACTGAGGACAACAAAGCTGCCTTCTACCGCAGTCGCCGACAGCTTCAGCAACGGCTGCGCGAGATGCAGGACGCCTGGACTGCTCGCAAAGCTGAGGAGATCCAAGGGTACGCGGACCGGAACGAATGGAAGAACTTCTTCTCCGCGATCAAAGCTGTCTACGGTCCGCCGACGAAGGGCACTGCTCCTCTCCTCAGCGCCGACGGCTGCACTCTCCTGACTGAGAAGACGCAAATCCTACAGCGATGGGTCGAGCACTTCCGAGGCGTCCTCAACCGCCCTTCCGTCATCTCCAACGCCGCCATCGCCCGCTTGCCGCAAGTGGAGACCAACGCGGACCTCGACCTCCCGCCATCTCTCCAGGAAACCATCAGGGCCGTGCAGCAACTCTCCAGCGGGAAAGCACCCGGATCGGACGCAGTCCCTGCTGAGGTCTACAAGCACGGAGGTCCCCTACTGATGGATCACCTGACTGCGCTCTTCCAGGAGATGTGGCGTCAAGGTGAAGTCCCGCAAGATTTCAAGGACGCAACTATCGTGCACCTATACAAGCGAAAAGGGAATCGCCAAGTCTGCGACAACCATCGCGGCATCTATCTATTGAAAATCGCCGGGAAGATCTTCGCTCGCATCCTGCTCAACCGCCTCAACAGCCATCTAGAACAGGGCCTTCTGCCGGAAAGCCAATGCGGCTTCCGTCGTCATCGTGGGACCACGGATATGATCTTCGCAGCCCGCCAACTTCAGGAGAAGTGCCAGGAGATGCGGACCCACCTGTACTCTACGTTCGTGGACCTGTCGAAGGCCTTCGACACGGTGAATCGTGAAGGACTGTGGACGATCATGCAGAAGTTCGGCTGTCCGGAGCGATTCACTCAGATGGTGCGTCAGCTGCACGACGGTATGATGGCGCGAGTCACAGACAACGGAGCTGTCTCAGAGGCATTCGCAGTGAGCAACGGAGTGAAGCAGGGCTGTGTGCTGGAGCCTACCCTCTTCAGTCTCATGTTCTCTGCCATGCTGATGGACGCCTACCGCGAAGAACGCCCTGGAATCCCCATCGCCTATAGAACGGACGGTCATCTCCTGAATCACCGGCGCATGAACTTCCAATCGCGTGTATCCACGGCCACCATGCACGAACTCCTCTTCGCCGACGACTGCGCCCTGAACACCACCTCGAAAGAGGCGATGCAACGGAGCATGGACCTATTCTCCGCCGCCTGCGAGAACTTTGGGCTGGTTATGAACACGCAGAAGACGGTGGTGATGCATCAGCCGCCTCCCAACTCAGCCACAGCCCCCAACGCGCCGCCGCAAATCAACGTAAATGGGACTCAACTGCAAGTGGTAGAGAACTTCCCGTACCTGGGCAGCACGCTCTCCCGCAACACCAAGATCGACGACGAAGTCGCCAACAGGATCTCGAAAGCCAGTCAAGCCTTCGGTCGCCTCCAAAGCACAGTTTGGAATCGTCATGGTCTCCAACTGAGCACAAAGCTGAAGATGTACAAGGCCGTTATCCTGCTGACGTTACTGTACGGAGCAGAGACCTGGACGGTGTACACGAGGCAGGCACGTCGACTAAACCACTTCCACCTCAGCTGTCTCCGCCGCATCCTGAGGCTGAACTGGCAGGACCGCATCCCCGACACGGAAGTACTGGAACGAACGGGAATCCCCAGCATCTACGCCATACTGAAACAAATGCAGCTGCGCTGGAGCGGCCACCTGGTGCGCATGGACGACGAGCGACTACCTAAACGACTTTTCTACGGAGACGTCGCGACGGGTTCTCGTCGTCAAGGAGGCCAAATTCGCCGTTACAAGGATACTCTGAAGTCCTCCCTGAAGCGCCTGCAAATCAACCCGACCAACTGGGAAGAGCTCGCCCGCGATCGTCCGACATGGAGGAGAACAGTGAAGACGGGCGCTGCTACCTATGAAGCCAACCGCATCGCCGCCGCCAAAGTGAAACGCGAAGCCCGCAAATCACAAGTTCGCCCAATACGCAACGCCGCCGCACAACCTCTCCCTACGTGTCCTCGATGCCAACGGACATTCCGGGTACGAATCGGACTTCTTGGACATCTTCGAACCAACTTCACCTCTCGAACTGCTCCAGCCATCGTCCCCCAGCCCGCCGTTTCCTCGTCCTCTGTGTCGCCAACTAACTCTGACACTCCTTCTGCACCACCACTTCCATCCTCCTCCTTCTCTTCCACTGCCCCAGCGGTGGCCGTTCAGGCTGCCGTCTCACACATCGCCAACCACGACACAACAACCGCAACCACCCCACCCCTCCCGATTCCAGTGATGAGGATCAAGACTACACCTGCCCTCACTGTGACCGCACCTTCACCTCACACATCGGCCTGGTCGGTCACTTGCGAATCCATCGCACAGAGACAGGCGAACCAGTGCCTGGAGCACCAACCTACACCCACCGCACTCGCCTCCACTGCCCACAATGCCCTCGCACCTTCACTCATCGCATGGGTCTATTCGGCCACATGCGCATCCACGAGAGCGGAATTGACCGCAGCCTTGACACACCCACCCCACCGAGCCCCACTCCCAATCCACCATCTTGTGCACCCACTAACCACTCCCCAGCCGACATCGACGCCACCGACCTTACCACCCCTCACTCCTCCCCTTCCTCCTCCTCTTCCTCCATCACTGCCACAACGACGGCCGCTTCGGCGTCTGTCGCCCACGACCTCACCACAGCCGAACCTGACACAACAACAGGCACAACCCCTGCAACGTCCATCATCAGACGTGAGGGCCAGGACTACATCTGCCCTCACTGCGATCGCACCTTCACTTCACGCATCGGCCTGGTCGGTCACTTGCGAATCCATCGCACAGAGACTGGCGAACCAGTGCCTGGAGCACCAACCTACACTCACCGCACTCGCCTCCACTGCCCACACTGCCCTCGCACCTTCA